AGAGACAGCCCAACTTAAAAATAATTTAGTACCAAAATCTAAATCTAAAACATTAAATCGTTCCAAAATAGTGCTAACATGCAATGGAAGACACAAAAATAACTGCAGAAAGGGACCAGTACCTGTAATCACCATGGAGTGACTGGATCCACACGCCATCAACTTCACCCTTCCAAACTTTACTTCTGTGAACCCTCTCATATGGGCCTCCGCAGGACTGATGTTCTTTGGCCTGCCATGTCCAGTCTGGCCAAACTCCCCACTACCCCAGCAAAGCAAATCCATCTCAAACTCACACTGCATGTCCTGAAAAAAAGACAGCAAAATCTGTTTAAGTGGCGGTGGAAACTTACATATTTGCATGGTAATCATTTTAACTAAAATTTTATTCCAAAACAAGAACTTTGTATGAATAGTTTTCTCTTTTAGAGCTTGGGTTAAGAACTTTAGTCCCGGATTTGAATGAGTACGGTTAGGTATTTATAAAGCAGCAGTTTTTAATAACCTATAGTCACACCACAGACATAAAAAATACATAATGTAAAATCCGGTGTATAAGACGCACTTTAGATACCTTTTTTTCTTCATCTAAGTTTACTACGTTCCATGTATAAAATGATGACACAAGTGCCATCATTACAGCATGTGCAGCTGCCACCATCTAACATTGCGCGCGACCTGATGCAACTGAAAATTTGCCCCCTTTCGTTGTGTATTGCAAGCTGTGCAGGGGTACAGCGACGCTAACCAAACTACTCCTGATTCCTCATTAGGTCATTATCGTGAATTTAAAGAAAACAGTGGTATATTTTTGAGTACATAAACCAAGTGGAGTGTTAGTTTGATTGAAAAACTCCTGATTAAAAGTCAACGGGTGACCAATGGAGGTGGGCAGTATGACTCGAGGGCTGTGGGTCTCTACTTCAAAACTTTAACTGTAGGCTAAGAGCTCAAAGAAATTAAAGATGTTGTCTCACAAACAGGATGATAAAAAATAGTGGAAGCGATTTAAATAAAATGTGTTTATAAAATATGAATCTTGCAGTCAGCTTTAAGCCAGCATAAAACCAACCTGAAGTTCCCAGCCTCATTTGTTATGAATTGTAGAGCCGATACAGATCACCAATATTTCCCTCAATATGTTTATTTACAATCTGCCCTCTGTGCTAATTAGAATGTGACCCTGCACACGCATTCAAGCAGCATCCAAAGACCCAACAGCAATATTACCAACACAATTCCATCCGACTGATATTGGAATTTTTCGAAAGAGCAAACCAATAGATAACCTATTACAAAACTATAAGAGATCAATAGCTAATTTCTTTATATTGATTACCACTTGGACATTTAACATGCGCCCTGTGGCCACAATGTGTGTTCTGCAAGCTTAGATTCCCATTGGCCCTCGTCAGTATTAAAATTATCGATTCAGACAGAGGACTAAAAATGTCAAGCTGTTCATTAATCTTAATAAAGACTGGACTTGACCAAGGCACCCTTTTTCCAATGCAGAGATACCACCTAACCAGCTAGGTCCACATACACGGCATAGATTAATGAGCTTCTACTGAAGGATGTGATATAAGTCTTTGTTATTAATAGATCAATTGCATAAGAACAAGTCTTTTTTAATAGTACTGAATTTTACCTTGCGTTTAACTCAACAATTTTTCAAGTCTAAAATGACTTTCAAATAATAGATATTTGTTGAACATCTTCAAAGTGCAGGACAGCACTTATGGGGTTTCTGTGTGAAATGATGCTGCATTGGCTGTTAAGCTACAAATGGCGCTCCAAGATCTATAATGGACAAATGTAATCAGGCACCGCCTAACAGCCAGTTTCTTCTCTGTTTTATATTAAGAGGTTCAAACCACACAGAGTTGTTCCTACATTAATGAGAATCGTAAGCAGTAATGTGACTGAGAGTGTGATACAGACTGACAAAATGTGTCCACTACCAAAACTCACAGACAGTGATTCATCTTCCATAGGAATAACTCTGTGTTTCCTGTAGGCTACTTCTTCTAACAGAACAGGCTGCCAACATCTCCTGTTGGACTACTTTACTTACAAAGCAACCGTCAAAAATAAATAATCAAACATAATCCAGTATGTGTTTGTTCTGTGACACATGGTCAAAGTAAGTTTTACTGAAAGAACAGTTGTATTCATAGAGGGGGCAGGACATCGTTGATAGACAGACAGTCACCAAGGTTACTCACTCTGACGAGAGGTGGGAGCTGCTGACTGACATCACTTCGAGCAGCAAGCATGAAAATCTATGCATGGAATTCAATGATTGCACATTTCAAAATATTTTTTAACAACCGAGGTCCGGACCTCAATGATACAGACTAACTCTTTCGTAATAATTTTCAGCGATGAACCCCGCTCAGCTGCAAAAGGGGGAGCATCTGTGTAGGATCCTACGATCTCTCTGCTTTGGCATATCGTCAACACAATCTAATCCTTCACGATGTAAAATTGTCTTATCGCACACCACTATTGTAAGCGAAAGTGGACTTTTGTTTGTAACTCTGCCTGCATGCCAAGAATACACAATGATAAAAGTCAAAAAGGTAAAAGCTCAAAAGCATACAGCTACAAGGAACTAACCTCTGCCGACGTTAAAGGACAAGAACTTTTCATTTCCCTGCCATCATAGCTCACGCTTCATTTCTCTGTTATATTTCTGTTGTAGTCCACATTGGATGCCTCTGGTTTTCTTGTGCCCCTGACTACACTTTCATTGCACTATTGACATTGACATGGTAACTGTCTCCATAGCACCTTCTGTTGACAGCACAACAGAAGACTGAGATTAACTTCACAAAGAAACTGGGGACAACTTTGAATGAAAGCAACAATACTTACTGAATTACATTGAACCGCATTAAAAAAAGAGGGCTCGGTTTGGGGAGTATTTGATTTTAGATGTGTTTTACAAATTGTAACCCCAAACCATAAAATAAAACTAATTAAATACAATTTGTACATAATACTTATCATCATAGTACACCCTTTTAGCGGTCAGTTAACAAGAAAATAGGAGAAACATTTGGTGTTAATATAAATAGCACTCACATTTACTTTAATCCCATTACCACTTGGAAAAACAGACCATAAACAGATACTACTGTTCAATGAAGATAAGTTAGACTTAATGCATATGGTGTGTTATGTAGTCAATATTACTGTAATCCTCACATGTCCAACTCTTCACCCACTTAAATGTCTTGATTACATGGTGGCTCACAAGTTTTTAAGATGAGAATGTCAGCCATCTGTATTAGCAATTATCATTAAATGGAGTATACAAATTTTAGCATCCATTTCCCACCCTTATTAAAGCCCGAATGACAAAAAAAGATTAAAGCTCGTGTTTGCTACAATCCCAAGATGACTCTTCCCAGGTCTGCGATGACCTTTGCATCTATCAGTGAATTTTAGTAAAATTTTACAAAATCATGGAATACATTTTTGTAATATCAGAAACCAATCTCCTATGAGCACTGCATAGTGAATGAAAAATTATTTTTAATAGTTCACTCAAAAAAAAACTGTCCTATGATTTGTATGTCATTTGAATATACTTCAGTTTCATTTTATTTTTTTACATTTTAAAAGCACCTTTATGAAGAATTCACACGCTACCACGGGAAATACATGTGGGTTTTGAATGACAAGTTAAAACTGTACAGAAATGTATACGTCATTCAAAACCACTACACTAGCCAAAAGAGACAAAAAGGGAATTCCTCGTACTTAACTTTTTTGTTAACCTATTTTTACATATCATGGTTTTTATAGATGCTAATCTCAGTTTTTGCTGTATTTTTGCCTTTGCTGCAGTAAAAATGCAAATTTACATCTTATCTTGTCTTATTACTAGGCCTCAGTAAATATCATAAAATAAGTTCATTAGATGTACATAATTTACTATGTTGAAAGGATCCCTTACACCTGCTCACTCTATTCACTGCAATCAAATTGAATTAGCAAGGGCAGGAAACAAATGTAATATACGGTAACTTCAACAAAAACTAAATAATAATGATGAGCTTTTTTGTATATGCACACAGACTTCATGCCACCCCTGCATAAGGCAGGGCTGGGCCACCCCAGTCAAAAAAGTCTGAACAACGTGCTTGCAAGCACATCATGTTACCTTGTCCAGCAGCAGGACAGAGGGCTCTGTCGATGGGACAAAGGGGGGAACAACAGGGTGAAAGGGACTCAACTTTAATCAGGTAAAAGTTAGACAACTTCTCAAGGATTACATTCTTTCCTTCTTCTGTCACATCCACAGTGACAGACATTGCTTCTACTGAGAGAGTCACTGTCTGAATTCATGGCTGTAATTTTAAGCCATTTCTCATTGAAACCAACAAATCCTAGAAATAAACATAGAAAAAGCAGAAGATAGTTCTGAAAGTTCCTGTCTTCTTGCTTTTAAAACGCGCAAATGGACTGTTTCTAATGAGCGCAGTGCACTGACCTCTTAATTGAAAGTCAATGTAGCTTGCCCACAAAAGATCTATCTCCCTTCCCCCCGTTATAAGTATAAACAAATAATAAGTCAAAAAGATTTTCAAAAAGAGATTACTTTCTTACACAGAGTAATAATGTCTGTGTTCTGAATAATGGATGCATTGGTCATCACCATACATTGTATTTATGCACTTTAAGAGCAGCATGCCATATAAACATTCCATATTAGCATATAACAATCCGGATTCAAACAAAGCCTCTCTTTTTTTTATTATCGAGTTACTCAAGTGATTCAAGGAATTGTTTTAGCCCACAAGTCAAGTATAAGAATAATTTTAAGCCAAAAAGAAACAATGAGCATATATTGGGCTCCACAGAGAGCTTTGGACACATGGCCTTAAACAGGATCCTTTAACTTAAAGCCCCAATATGTAACTTTTCAGTTTTGGTGCGCTTTGATGCCAACAGCAGGTCTCTGACTGCAACTGCACTGTCATAAAACTGTCAAACAACATGCATTTGTTGACAAGCAGAGCGTGAGGAAGCCGGCACAGACGCCGTGAGACGATAAAGAACCATGTCGACTCAAAAGGTACAGTAATATTACCAGATTTTGATAAAACCTGGATGTCTGCAGTCCGATGTTTAGTATGAGTATATGTATTCAACTGTTACCATGATATCTATAGGCTGTAGATAAATAGCTATATGTATACATGCTAGTTATCAGTTTGTAAGCTTGTAAACTTTTTGGAGACAATGTAAGATGGATATATTTATCCACTTGTTTGCAAACCGGAGACATAACTTGTGTTTACTTTCTGCTCCCGGTAAAGCTGCTAAACGTGAGACAACGATGACATCGGAAATGATGCAGCCTCACGTTATGTCTAAATCTGTTATACATGTAGCCGTTATTAGCAGCCACGTTTTACAACCACTCTTCCTGCAGGACTCAGGACTGTGGATTAACATGTTGTTTACTTTTACCAAGGAACAAAGGAACTGATCAATAATTTAAGTCTCCCTCTCAGACAGGATATTATGAACTTTTACAACACCTGGAATAAACAACAGAGCGGAAACAGAACCTGACCTGGAGCGCTATTGCCATCTAGTGTTAGAATATCCATGAATACATAACCTTCATAATTATACATTTAGATGTGGTATAAAGCATACTCTTTGATATTAGCTATAGAAGGTGTTATTTAAAGACACCAATATTTTCCTACTTTATTAATATGTCTTATTAAGAATGCTGACTGTATAACATGGTTTTGTTCACCTACAGGCTGGGATGAACTGAGGATGTTCCCAGATGGTGTGATTTTCATCTCAACATGAATCTGATAGAAATGTTTGTCTAAATATATGACGTGAACCTAAATCAACATAGATCTGATAGAAATAATATCGAAATGAATATATGGTGACGTATATATGTTTAGATTCTTATTCTTAATCTTATTGAGTAAACTCAATAAGAAAGTTTAAACAATTGTCCTCCGGTCAGAATGGGAGTCACCTCTGGGGAGTCACCTGTGGGGAGTCACCCGTGGGCAGTCACCCGTGGGCAGCACCCCTCTTTGCATGCAGACCCCTCTTCCCTCATCCAGCTGATAAGAGTTCACACTGAGCTCAGAAGTTTTAGTTTTAGTTATTTTTTTTGGTTTGTGAAGTTTAGAGCTTCAGCTCTTGCTCGCTTCTCTTCGGACTTTGGCCCATCCAAATCACTTCTTTTAAATTTGTGCCGTAGAGACGACTCGCTGCCGAACTTTCTTTTTCACGCACAATTTTTGGAAATATCAGTTCTTTTTGGCTCAAGCAAGGTTTTTGAACTTTCTGCTCTAAAGTCTTTGCTCTTCAATTTTGAACGCCAATTCCTTAGTTTGGATTCATCAAGATGGCCACCCGGTTAATCTGAATTGGACATCGACGTATCAAAAGACTCTTTAATATTTTTCCTGTTGGATCCTCTTGAAGCTTCTGAGACGACGGTTGAACCGACGTACAATCTCCATCCCAGCTGCACACTCCGACCAAGTTGTCAAGGCATCTAATCTGGCCCGTGGACCTCTCTGGGCCTGAAAAGAACCGCTTGCCAGAGACTGAAACGCGGGACCAGCCGGCGGAGTTCAATTGAACACATCTCACAGCAAGACTGCTGGTGGCTGGGGGTGTTGGAAGATTGAGTCTTGAGTCGTGTCTATTCAGAGCCCTCCTTTAAATCCAAATAAAATCCAAAAATTCCTTTATCAACTTTTTCTTTTTGACCATTTTCTGATTAAGTTATTCAAATAATACCGCGTCTTATCTCCTACTAAATATATAATATCACCATACATTATAATTGCATTATCCTGATCATAATAATCATATTCTTTATCTGTTTCATCTATACATTATTGTTTACCCCTTTTATATTAAATTTTACACAAAATTCAGGACTTTGTGTGTTTTCTTGTTTAACATTTCCAGAACTTACTTCTTTCAAGATATGAAACTGACAGATTAATTAATTAATTAATACCATTAAAGTTATTTTCTTCCTTTCACAGGAAGTGGTGCCCCCTTCTTTTAATCCGAGGTCAAATAAAGATATAACATCTTAATTTAATTACGCTACATACATAATCTGCAAGGATGTTCATTCTGTTATCTAATAGTTTCTTTCCCATCTTGTTTGGGCAATATTATTACTAGTCTGCGACCATGTATATGTAATAAGTGTATGAGGTTTTTGTTTTTCAACATTGGTTCTCCTTTTATTCCAGGATTCAACTTCAACTCGCCATCAGTGATGAGCAGGAGCCCGGAGTGGAGCAGCATCACAGGCCTGCAGCATATAGACAGTGTGTGTTATGATAGCATGGCTGCTTGGGAGAAGAGAACAGAGTAATGAATCAAAGCTGCTACGTCTGGAAAATCAGAGATGCTTACACAAGTACAGTATCCTGGCTACAGGGTGTGTTGCCTTGTGTAAAAAAGTGTCTTACAGACTTGTACATACATACTTGTTGTGGTTTTGTTCGGTATTTTTGTGCCATTTCAAGTTGACTTTGTATGTTGAGTTCCTTGAAGTCTTTTGTTTTGACCAGTTTACATAATAAAACAGATATCCTTTTCTTCTACTCTATTGTTGTGATTGCATTTACTACCTGTAATTGACCTGTACTGGTAATGGTTATAACAATTAGTAATTGTGTGCATTGCCCACAGATTTTTAGTCCTCTCTTATTTATATTTACCAAATAACAAAAACATTATCAAGGTTTCAAGATTCAAGCGATCACCATTGGGCATAACAACAACAACAACAACGGTAATAATAAAATATGATAATATAATAAGAAGGAAAAGTTAAAGAGATCAAGATAAAATGGTTATATATTAGACAAACATTGACTTTCTATACAAATACAATCTAAAGCACATTTGGGCACTTATTTACACATTCAGCTGCTTGGGGGGGTCTACACTATCCTGGAGCTTTGTTATGATGGACCTGAGCTCTGATGATGCACAGCTGAAGATACAGACAGGCAGAAAGTTTAGGAGCAGTTTCTTCCAGTGAAATGTGAGGAAAGTTCAGCTGTGGGTGGTGCCTGTGGATCATCAGCACTAGACTCTGTTTAGTAGGAAGGCCCGTTCATCTTCAAATTGTTCTGCATCAATGGGTGTAGTCTTGTCTCTTTCAAGGCGTTCACACTCCAGCTCTTTGATTTTTATTGCAGCAACTTCAGGACCTTGGACAACAATATTATTTTGCATTAGAGTGGTTTCATATTTTCACTGTTTAGTTAACAGCAACAATACATTTGTACGTTAGACAACTGTACTACTAAATACTTAGGTCTTGTGTCCATCACAGTTTCGAGCATGATATTCGGCGGTTCTGGGGCCCGTTTCTGAAAGAAGGTTTTGTGCAAACTCTGAGTCAATTAACCCTGAAATGAGGGAAACTCTGGGTTATCCGTTTCAGAGGGGGAGGTCACTAAAACCCGAGAAAGAGGGGTAACTCCAGCCCGTTCCAGAGGGAGAGGTAACTTTACCTCTGAGTCGGTTACTATGGTAACTGAGTCTGTGAACCTAACCTGGTCGGGAGCAGGTTTTCTCTCGGTCTCCTCCCTCTTTCAGAGCCAGAAACGCCGTTTCATTTCCTCATTCTTTCATTCAGTCCGTATCACACGCGTTAGTGAAGATTCACAGTTTGTCTGAATAAAAATCCAGGTTGTTTTAATATGATAGCCTATGTTAGGTAGGCATTACTACAGCATATAAAACAAACAATTTTATCGAACATGGCGTCTTTTAGTCGAGCCTCATAAAAGGTGTTACATTACTCCGCAGGGAATTAGAGCCGAACGTCAGGAGATGTTCATTTAGGCCTAATTAATTAATAAACTAAACAGGATAAAGGTGAGAGGACATTTAGCCTAGGCTATGTGTGTGAATCATAGGTGTGAATACAGCATTAGCCTATGTTGGAGATAAAGTTAATGCACAAAATAGACTCTGAATTAAGTTAACTTTAAATCTATATGAGCCTATTATGTTCTTATATTTCATTTTGTGCTGTTTTAAAGTCGCTTTTCTTCTGCTGGGTTGCATCTTAATGAAAATAAATTGTAGGTTAAATACAATTCCACCAGTTTTGACCTGCAATATTATAATTCTGATTAAATATTAAATTAATAGACTTTTTTAAATATTAATTTTAGACTTACGTGCCAACGCGAGCAGCTGTTTTCTCTACTCCACTCTCCTTTGCTGCTGTTCCTTTTTTTCCTTCTTAAAACCTGTTCATATTCGCCGTATGTCCACATGAAGATAGGCTATATTTCAAAATAGTTAAAGTAGGAGGATCTCTTTTTTGTCACCTGTTGCCATGGTGAATCGTAGAATCGAGGCTCCATTCATGTTGGCTTTTTATCGTTGTGGTGCACGCGCTGAACACCGAGTGAACCTACTAAGAGTTGATTTAACTAATTCAAATCTGCTGATCTGGAATCGAAAACTCAGAGTTTCCCATCTGAGAGTAAACCAACTCAGAGCTCAGGGTTAGACTGATGGTTTGTTGAACCTTCTTTCAGAAACAGGCCCCTGGTGGTTATAATCAGTAGCTGCAAGCAAGGTCAGTGTTCTGTATACAGGTGGGCTGTGACCAAACTGCTTCTCTGCATACATAAGGGTGTGCTTTTGGAAGTTATCCAAATCTGAAGTTGTCTTGTTGGGTAGAAAAGGCAGACAGAAAAAAAAACCTGCTCTGTTAGTGACATACTTCTCACTTCCACTTCATACTGCACCAAATAACATAAAGGTGAGCAGAGTCCTCAGCTTGAAAATCAGCTGGAGACATAGAAAGAGTCAAAATATAAATGCAGTGTGCCATTTCAAATACATTTTGTAATGGTCCTAAATAGCATTGATGCATCATGCAGCCATTGTCGATTTGAAAAAAAGTGGAAATATGTTTGTATGGAAATAATTACAAATACAAGCATTTGCATGACTGGAAGGTGATCTGCGAAATATATATTCGTGTGTTTGAGATGCAAGTCAAATTCACCTGGATTACAAGACATCAGCCTCCTCCTCTTCCTCATTCAGTAGCTGAACACCTTGGACAGCAATCAAAAGACAAGTAGAATATTACATTTTACCATTCAATGACAGTATTTTTTTCAATAATGTTAATCCATGAAAACATACCTGTCGCGGTTGTAGGTTGCATTTGTTGATGGAGATGATACTGATCGCCTTTTTAGAAAGCTGGAATAAAGTTTGAAGTCATTATGCTAGTTGATACAACTGTGCAGAGTATGCATAGTTAACGTTAGTTTCAACACGAGAAACTTTGCATACGCGCTGCTCAAATAATTAGCAGCCCGAGGTATCGTAACCTGAACCCGGGACAATATGCTGTCTATATTATCATGCTACGGGCTAAACTTCAGCAGACATGCACTGACTTTGCTTTCAACCACCCGCTAATGTGTCGATAACTTTTTTCGCGGTGCATCAGTCAAAGTCTGCCCAAATAACTCTGACATGTGTCGCTAATTCATCATCTGGGACAGTAACGTTATTCTGACATTCTGGTCGTTATATGACATAGACTGAATGGGTTTGTGTTGAAACAACTGATAACTATGATGCAAAGAAATAAAACAACGTTTATAATGAGCATAGTACTCACCAGTTCAACAGCAGCAGTGCCAGCTCGGTATCTGACTTACAGCACCACCGTTCCCCGAAGCTCAATCCAACGTGTAAAAGCCTCTCCAGTATTTACTTATGTCCAGTCTCTTGTTCGGTCACTCTCTCTTTGTTCTTTATTTTATTCCTAGCTTCATCCGTCAACGTACTTTTCCTCTTAGCCTGCATCAAGCAGTACAGAGACGAGCTTACTCCTAATATTTACAGTCTCTGCTAACTCAAAAGGGACTTGTAAACTAGTGCCGTAAAGCAGTACGTACCTCTCATGAGATGAGCTTACAAGCAAAGATTTTAAGGTTGAAAAGTTACATATTGGGGCTTTAATTAAGTTGTTAGTAAAAATGTGGCTAATTTATAATCAAGATATCATGTCACACAAGAGGACATAGTTTTTGGTGACATGTATCGAGTTCCTGCCCTTTTTATCCAATTCATAAAAGTATTGTAGCGTTCTACTCAATGAAGTTAGGAGACATTATTCAGCTTGCATGGGGGTTTATTTCCAAACTTAAAACAGGCTACTGTACGCCATAGCCAACGGCAAAAATAACAAACCTATAGCCTCTCTCATAGTCACAACAGACGTCGGCTAAGCTCACGCACACGCACACACACACCGCAGTCCCACCTTTCCTCAAGCTCTTAACCAATCACCCACTTGAACAACCTGCATAGACACTGTCATAGGCACTTGAAATAACTAACAGGCTTGAAACCTCTCAGAACTGCTGTAAATCTAACATATTCACTGACTTTAAGGAGAACTCAGTAACTGCCATAACAGTCGTTAGCTTAACTAACAAAACATGAAATCTAATCCGTTACAGTATTTATCTATTGACATATGATGGTGACTGTCACACTATAGGACATGTTCTAGGTTCAAGTCCAACAAAGTAATGGTTCACCAATTATTGCATTAGTGAATAGTAATTATATGCATTCTTACCTATGAAAATGCCATGTCATGTCAACAAGCCACATATAAGGGGTGCATTATTTTCAATATCAAAATTGCACCATGGAAAAGTGGAATTAGCTAAATCTCAAAAGCAACAAGTTTTCATACAAGTAAAATGTTGAACAAAAGCATTAAGATTAGGTAGTGTTGTCCTTCGGCTATGCCCTGGCATTCTCTGTTGTTCTTGGGGTTTTTTGTCAAGATGCAATCAAATGCATCATCCATACGATTTAAATTGTATTTTATTCCAGCAAAAAAAAAAAAAGTTAATAAATTGTGTTGTCTATCAATAAGACAACAAAAATACATCATGTGAACATGTTAAACTTTCTTAAAAGGCCTTAAAACAAAACGCTTGGCTGCCTCTGTTCCCTTTTAGCGTTGTACACCAGACGCCTAGATGTCGTGATAGGATATGTAAGCGGCGACATTTTGAAAGAGGATTTCCAATTTAAAATCTGAGTGGGAGTCCATCACACTTTTTAGTTACAATGTAGTTTTACAGGTTAACATACTAGGGAAGTTCATTGACCCATACCGTTTATAAAAGACCATTTAGAATTTTTAACTATCTTACTACACCGGTAGTTTCTTAAAAAGTATGCTAATATATCTTTGAGTCTTCTACATCAAAGTATGCTCGTTGGACCTATGTTAATGTAACATAGTTAATAAGGTCTGGATTAAATCCAGTTAAATTGCGCAACAATGTCTGCTGTCAGAAATAACAAACTGCAGCTCAGCGGTGGCAAGGTAACTGCCTGTTAATGCCTCAGAGAAATTACATGTAAATTGACATTAATGCACATACAAGTAAAGATGGCTGTAGTGGCAATCTAACAACAAAAAGTGCCACTGGAGGGAATTTTAAGTCATTTCCAACTCATGGTGGGTAAAAAATGGAATGTCCGCCATTAATTATGTTTTAAGTATTTATTTATTATTGTGCATTTGAGTTTCAAACCAGTCATTATGTTTTGACATTTCATCCTCAGGTATAAATGATTTTAGTGATTTCTGCAGCTCTGTTGCTACAACACTCAGTTTTAAAGTCATTTCATACTTTGCCTCCACTTCAGAAACAGTTTTGTTTGAAAGCACCAGTTGTTCTACTTCCTTTATTAATTTGTGAAGTTTCTTTAACTTGTAATTTTTTTTCTTTTGATTTGACATTATTTTTGTCTCCAATGCTTTCACGGTAAGTTTAACCGGTCTTTTCTCCGTTTCACTTTGATTGACAGGTGCGTTCATTTCCGCGTCACTCATTTTGATTACTCTTGTAAACAGCTGAAGTTTTATTAAGAATTGCAGCAGGATTTTCCTGTATCCCGTCTATGAAAAGGCCAATCTTTTCCACAGATTGTAACAATTCTAAATCGATCCTACCGTGAATCTTTGGTGTTTTTGCACAGGCTGTCACTTGCCGGCGTCTTGTTGAGTAGATACAGCTGAAGCGGATCAGAGCGCAGCACTGCCAGTCATCAGCTTCGAAAGGCTCTGTCCATTGAAACCAAGTTTTTCAACAAAATGTAGTGGCAATCTAACAACAAAAAGTGCCACTGGAGGGAATTTTAAGTCATTTCTAACTCATGGTGAGTAAAAAATGGAATGTCCGCCGTTAATTATGTTTGCAGTATTTATTTATCAGCAGTCTTAAAAACACGGGTGTAGGCCTATTCTGCATCAGACGAAACTAAACAAAAATAAAGTCTAAATGCGCTAAAATCTTCACACACCTATGGTTGAAAAACTGTGTGACTTCCACTAATTCCCTATCCCCATTCACCTGTGTCTCCCCTTTCTACCTACCTGTGGCTGTAATTACCAACTATGCCCAGGTGCGCAGGTGACGTTTGCAGCAGAAAAACGTCCACACAACCAACCACACACACAAACCACAACACACATGAAATTGGCGACAACAATGGCTATATTTGGTTAATTGTGATAAGTTTCAACAATAATTTCACCATGTTTTTGATAAGCTAAAGCTCTGTTTTTGTATGTTTTGTCCATTTAAAAGTTTGCTAAAAGATCGCTAGCTAACATTAGCATTTTACCATCTTCTCGGCAGGTGTATGTGCTGTAACGTGGAAGATTCATCTTTCTACTCTGTTTGTCTTATTACAATGCAGATGTAATAAATGGCTGTTATAACCCACATGAGCGGCTCCAGAGATTCACTGAAGACTATCACATAGGTCACATTAACAACATGGAAGAATAGTGTTTTATAGAAAGATTAAGCTAACCTTATCCTTTAACTTTAGCGAGATAACACTGTCTGTCCGACAGACCAATGAATAGATGTTGCGGCTGTATGTTACTGCACACTAAAAACTTACATGTGTTGTAAAATAACCAAGTATTACGGATTTACAAGAGTCCTGAGAGGATGTAAGTTGACAAGCTATCACGAGCGCGGCAAATAAAGGGCCGCCACATTGAACGTGGCCTGACATGCGCAGTTGGGGGTCAGTTGACCAACATCTGTTTTTCCCCCATCTGAACACTCAAAGGGAAATTCTCTGACCGCTATCATGTATTTTTATGTGTGAACTTAAAAACTCTGGCACTTCAAATTGATGCAATTGCCTAAATGAGTAAGACACTAAAGTAGGTTTGAGAAGTAAGTAACAAAAGGAACTTTTTGAAATAAGCTCATATTTGCCACTGAAAATAAACTGCAACTTTATGAAAATCAAGTTATACAAGTATAAGATCTGACGGATGTAAGTACTGGATTTAATTTAGCCTACTCCAACTGCCATATGAATTAATATTTATAATTCTTATAATTATTGTGGTTGTTTTTTTCTTCTTTTAATTTCAAGTAAGACTTCCGGAATACACGGTCATGTTGCGTGTAAATGATTCCCACAGACAGTTCATGCGGGTTCATGGAGCATTCATGTGCCTTTTATTGCCGTTTTCACATGACAGTCCCTGAAGACTCCTCGTTAACTCAACAACTTCCTGTTACGAACGTGTGTCCTTCAAAATAAGAGCACATTGTAATACTAACAGATTACACCCTGATTACACCACATACACAGATCCCTTCACAATAAAAGGAACAAATTGTTTACCTTAGTTTTTATGTTTTTTTTTATCAAACATGACCCACATGTGAGGCTAGAGTTGCATTTTATTTATTTCAAAATGGCATAAGATATTTAAATATCCTATGCTGTTTTTGCATTAGCAGAAACGTTATTCAATAGGCAGTTCAGTCTGTTTACAGTCTATGGTTTGAACTCAGTTGACAAACTTATCTGCTCCGTTTTGTCATTTTTGCTCAACAATGCTGCCTTCAAGTCCCATTTCTCGAGTTCTAAAATTGTAGGCCTAGGCCTACTTATTCCGTGGGTAACATTTGCAGGTTTAAAAAATAAAAAAAAAACTTGTTGCGCACTCACAACCAAATAATAATTATAGTGGAAATTGTTATCCCTTTTAATTTCTTTTAATTCAATTTCCTTCCAATATAGACTAGCTACATATCCAACCTCTATCAATAAACTGACATATTACTATTTCGGGTTGTTGTTGGTGGCTGTTGCATACAGTGGTATGTACACTTGTTTGCACCTAAGACTTTCTTCAAGTAGAAACAAAAAAAGATTCCGGGATCACGTGCATGTATAGGGTTACTTGGGGTCACACTCAGATGTATACATTAGAGTTTAGGGTTTACTTTTGCGTTATTTTTTCCTGTGCTTGACCTCTGTTGTAGTATTATTTTTTGCATGATAGCTACGAGCAGCTGTAGAGAGTGGTCTTAGATTACATCGAGCCCCCCTAGTTTGTCCTCTGCACATTGGATGGCAGTAGAGGTTTTATCAGACTTCCATAGGGCGTGTCCTGCTCAGCAGTCCAGACGCCATGGGTCTTCTCAAAGAAGTCTACCATAAAACGGAGCCATCTGAAAAGGAGTTGTAGGGTCGATCACATTGTGTTTTTATATAGGCTAAACTATCTAACTGTCTAGATTATCACCTACTCACGCCACTGCACCACGATGCCTTCAATTCAAAGCTTAACCATGTATATCGACGCGCTGAATGAGCACGAGACGTTTTCGGAAGGAGACACTATTGCTGGAAAAATAACTCTGGTCTTAATAAAGGAGACGAAAGTAGAAAGCCTGTTTGTCAAAGCGAAAGGGGACGCTAATGTGCGATGGACGCGAAAGCAAGGCGACAAGACGTACACATACTCTGCAAACAAGAGATATTTCAAACTGAAGGACTTTTTAATTCCGGAGCAAACCAAGGGTAGGTGGTACATGTCTTGTTAGTTCTGCATGCCTTAACCCATTGAGATTAAACTATCACAACAGTGTGTAGGCCCTCTTTATTGTTCTCGTCCTGGCTGTTACTTTGAGCTGTTTTCCTTTTCTATTTATTTCATAACTAGGCAAGTCTGCGATTTTACAGTACTGTAAACGATAACTCAAGAACACCATAAAATAATAAACAAGTTAAATCCCACATTCAAAACTTAAGAAAAGTGCATAATGTGGGGGCTATCAGCCTAACGGAAGTGGAAATTGTGAATTCTGTAAAGTTAGCCTTGAATTGATAATTGTGTGGGAGGGTCAGCTGGTGTAAATGTTTTACAAAAGTATATTGCTTTTTTTATTCTATAATAGAACAAAGTACATTTTTAAACAAGTTATTTATGAAAGGGGAGCATGTAAAGGAAAACAAAGAATAAATATTTTCAGCTTCAATCAATCAATCTTTATTTGTATTGCGTCAACTCATAACAAGTGTTATCTCGAGACTTTTACAAAAAGCAGGTAAAATACCTTAGTCTTTGTTTTTTGATATTACAAAAGAGCAGGTTAAAAGACCAGCTTTTAAGTAAAGATACTTCGCTTTTTTCATTGACTGCATTCATTGCCATCATAGAAGCAGTTGAATGGCAGTGATCAAGGTCATCATTAACACCAAAAAACTTTTCCTTCCAGACACTTTACTTCCCCAAGGAATCCATGTCTATAAATTCAACTTTCGCATACCCCCAGGGTGAGTGAAGACTGTTATGGCACAATGCATCTGATTTGAACAGACAGTAGTAGACTACTCTTGTACAGTCTGTACAATAATGTTAAACGCTGTTTATAGATGTAATCCTTTTCAGATAATGTGTAATTTATGCATGTTTTCCCACTACAGAAGCTTTCCGTCATCGTTCCGCGGCCATCATGGAAAGATTGTCTACATGCTGCAGACAAAGCTGTCCAGGAGTTGGAGGATGGACCGTACAGTCGATAAGGAGATCAATTTTGTCTCAAAGTCCATTCCAAACCTTCAGTCGCTGATGGTAGGCAAATCATTGAAACATAATGAATACAATTTGACAGATACTATCCCGCCTTCATGAGCAGGAATACACTTACAGCGAGATGTGGGTTGAAAAAAAAACAAAAAGCAAGAACAATTTTAAGGAGGACATGAGGGAAGCCCTACAAACTACTGTCCTCCACTTTAAAACTACTGTATCTTGCATGCACATTTACTGGGTCCATCACTAATGGCATAAGAGCCACTTGGGCTTGTCCTGCTATTAAATATCTAAGGGAACTGCTGCTTAGATTTAGATTTGCACGCCACAAATGTAAAAAACTGTTTTTTAATTGTTAGAGACTTTCCTGTTGTCCGTTTTCACATGTTATTTCTTCTATAAAGTAGTTCTTATGAAAAGGGCTCATAATTAGTGTTTTCAAACATGCACAAAACTCCTGAAATTCCACAAAATATTCTGGTGAGCTGCATGTGTAAAAGCAAAATGAGGATTTCTTTCACCCTGACTATACCCAGAGTTTTCCTGCCAGCCCCCCCCCCCTCAAAGTAAAGCGTTGTAAAGTAAGGGTGAGCTGATGTGTGAACACAGCTGGAACTATTCAGGAAAATTCACCACAAGCGAGCAGGCAGGGATGATGACACAACATTTACTTCACGCGACAGGTGAGCATCCTGTGCAGTCATCGTGCATGTTGTGGAGCTGCTTCGTACAGCTTATATGTTTCTACCATACATTCGTTATCTGTTGTACGTGCAATTACACGTGGCATTGATACAAAGGCACAAACTGTGATCAAAGCATCAGACTCTGTCGCTTTGACTGCCATTTCTGCATTGTCATTTTTTATATTATGTCCTGCCTCCTGAGACACCACCACCACCACCACCCCCTGTCAGATTGAGCTATTCAGTGTTGCTCCTATGGACCTGGGTATTACCCTGAGACACTTCACATAACATGCTCTGCATTCTCGTAATAATAGAAGTGGATCAAGAGTAACCCCCCCCCCCCCTTTTGTTTTTCTTTTGCACTCCAGTTGCAGCAAGTTGGTTCAATCAAAAAAGAGATGGGTCTTTTCTCTAAAGGAAATGTGCACATGGATGCCACTATTGACAAAGGGGTTTGCACTGCAGGTAGGACAACCCCTCCGCAGATTTTAAGATGATGAGCAAGATGGTTACAGTTAAGAACAAAATAATAATTTAAATGATTCTTAAATGAGTTTCAAAGAGTTAAGACTGTTTTCTGGGATTTGGAAATAAGTATAAATTATCAATACATTTGGGGAATTGGGAGGTTAAGATTTAAGAAATATTCATATTAAACAAATGCAGTTGTCTATGCAATGAATACAGAAATAAACAAAATGAATATATTTTAAAACCACTTCTATTTGTATTACACCTTACTGTGTTGTTTTCCTCATAGGTGAAACTTTGATGGTTGTTGCAAAAATCAACAATTCTTCTTCAAGTGAGATGACTCCCAAATTCCGTTTAATCCAGGATGTGGTGTACCGTGCCAACGGAAGTACCAAACATGAAAGCAACACTATATTGAAAATGCACGACAACTCCATCAAAGCCCAAACACAGAAGGAGGTTAGGTGTGAAATGAAGCTCCCAAGGGATATGGGACAGTCCATCCACAATTGTGATATCATTTCAGTGGCGTACGAATTGAAGGTATGCACAATTGCAACTGTGTAACTTAAATTTAAAGCAGAGTCAGTTCAGTTCATTGACAGAGCGTTTTTTAGTAACTGCTGAGTCATCAGTATTGATAGATGTTTTCTTTCTATTCGACTTTAAAATAAAAGCATTTTGCCAATGAGTCTGTCTTTTTTTCCCTCTCAGGTGTACCTGGACATCAGTTTTGCTTTCGACCCAGAGATTGTGTTTCCGTTGGTCATATGTTCTCCTAGCTTAGCTTCTGCCCTTCAGCCTGGTGTGGATGCAGGTCCCACTCCATCAGGGGCCTATGGGGGTCCAAGCAACATCAACTCCCCTTCCCATGCAGTGCCTTTTGGTCCATATCCTCAATCTCCACAATCAGGTGGTTATGGATACCCAGGAGTCCAAAGTTATTCACCATCACATGTGCCTCCAAATTACCCACCAGTGAATGCTGCTCCACCAAGTGTCTTCTGTGCTCAACCAGTTCATGTGAGCTGGGGCTACAACAACACGCCCCCACGGCAGGATTCTCCATATGGATATCCATTTTCGTCTTCATCATCTTCGCTTCATCCTCCACCTACTGCCCCAACATTTCCCCCAACCCGAAGTGCCCCAGAGCTCCAACCCCCACCCCAGAGTGCCCCAGAGCTCCAACCCCCACCCCAGAGTGCCCCAGAGCTCCAACCCCCACCCCAGAGTGCCCCAGAGCTCCAACCTTCCCCTGCTCCACAATATAACATATCACCACCTGCTCCTGCATACAACCTGCTGCCCTCTGCGCCAGTGATGAACACAGACTTCCTGTCTCAGTCTGATGATGCTCCTCCAGCATATTCACTCCTTTTCCCCTCTTCTACTACCGAACAGTCTGATGCAAGATAATAGAACATAGCCTGGATGACTAAATCTGTATACTTTTATGTTTCAGAGCTCACCACTAACTTTTAAATGGCATAAGCTCTTGATTTGAAAGACTGAAATATATCGGGCATTATCGCTTACCCTGTGTATTGAGTAATTGGTTTATGACAAAGTTATACCTCAGATTCATCATGTAACATTATATGGGTTGAAATAAGCCATATTTCATTTCATTTCATTTTTGATTTATTTGCTCATTTCAGTGTATGATTTCAAAACAATAACACACACTATGAAATATTTTCTCATGTTATTTATAAACTGTCCATGAACATCAGGAGCAGGAGGAAGAAAACATGATACCTGCCCCTTTCTTAATAACACAAGTTACTGTTGAAACAAAATCAGATGACTAACCTGTTGTTTTTGTTTTATTTTACAAATCAAGAAATAATTCAACAATACCTACAGAAACAATCAAATACAATATATAAACGTAACCAAAAGGTTTGCAATGTTTTTCTCATTTAAACCTGTTCTCTTTTTGTTGTCCTTATGCTTGTATGTTTAAAAGTGGTCACGTTGCTAGTTATGCAAACAGTACCATTGAGTCTACTAAACTAGTGTTATTAAAGCAGACATTGTGTGCTATATTTAAAGTAAGCATGCCAACAATTATATACAAACATAGACATATTACATGTGACTGTGGTTTTTCTGGTTAGTTCAGGTTCCTGTTAGCTTAAGATAACTAATGCTTCAATTACTCAGACCTCTGTGTGATAAAGGTTGTGTAATTTATGTGCCTTGTTCAACTCAAGTGTCCTAATGTTTTTTACAGGGTATATATAATCTTTATTATATAGGCTACCCACTCTTTCTACCTCGCTTTTCGGTTTTGCAGTTTGGCTGAAAGAATCTGAACAGGAAGCCTACCATATCACTAAAAATGTATTGAACTTTTTAATATTACATTTCTAGAAAGCCTATAGATGTGTTCTATAAGTTAAAGTGTTTTTATTTTGTGAGACTTATCACAATATACTGTTCAAACCTGATCTGTTTCACTCTCAAATTGCCATTGTTTTCTCTGAGTTGTTGATCAAAATAAAGACCTGCCATCTTGTGAATGTTTCAGTGTGAGCATGAAGACTTTGTATGGCTTCTTATCATGCTGTATGTTTAACTTCCACAAGGTTGCCCAACTCTTAGCAAATAATTTCATTCATGTGGCCATTCAGCTTTTACACACTGGATCTCTTCCGTCTTAATAAAAACCACACCAGTTCATTTGTGTATGAGTAATAGGCTATGTTATTTCATCTCTGAAGTTTAGATCTGTGTGGTTTAAAAAACAAAACATTTGTATACCTCTGTTGCCCTTTGTGAATGTTGCTGATAAGTACTGTAATGATGGGATTAGGACAATATTACAGGTTTCACTGCCCCTCCCTCTACGGGCGGAGCCGCTTTAGGGCTAAGCAGGTGCCTTTTTCCATACGCAGTCAACACTTTGACAACCTAAAAGCCGCAGTTGGAATTGCAGTGCACGATTGGTCGATAGCCTATATCAAAAATGTCTCCGAAAAATTTTAAGCTGACTTTTGAAGCTTTGAATGAAGAGCAAACATTTACCTCAGGAGATACCATCAGGGGCACGCTAACTTTCACTTTGACCGAAGACACCAAAGTGAAAAGTCTCGGTGTTAAAGTCAAAGGGTACGCGCACGTACACTGGACGGAGGGAACTGGAGATAGAAGGAGTACAAAATCTTTAACCAAGGAGTACTTGAAAGTTAAACAATCCATTGTTGAAAAGAATTCCGACGGTAAGACAAGGAAATGTGTGCAACGCTTGGAAAACGAATGTCTTATTTTGAAATAATTGGCTTACAGGCCTACTGGTAGGCTGATGGACATATGCAGGCCGTGACATATTTGTGAAATGGTTACATTTCTTCCCAAATTAAACTGTTTTAGCACAGCCTGCTTTTTATGTAACTGTTTGTTAATCCATTATTTCTTCAAATAAAAAAAAATAAAAAAATGAATCTTTCATGAAAGTCCCTTGCTTACAGCGTGCGTGTAGGCTAGGTGTTTTGTTTGAATTAATTTGCACATGTACATCTCCCAGAAAGACATGAATTGGGAAGCAGGTTTGACAGTGGTTTGCAAATTGAGTCCTGGGTGGGGCACGGTTTTGTGTTTGGACTTCTGTTTCCTTGTTTGTTACTGCATGGGTGTGGGTTTATTGGTAAAGTCAGGGCTCTTCACCAGCACACAAGCTTAAACAAATTCTAATTTTTTCCTGCTCAATAGCTACCCACAAAAATCCATATAACTTGTGCTGGTTAAAATTAAATGAATCACTTAAAGGAATGACACACGATGTTAGTGAGCACATTATAACAGCTATATGAATCCAGTGAGAGAGGGTCAGACATTTATTTTTAACATTCTCACTTTTTTTGCAGGCACTGTGCTTCCGAAAGGAGACCATTGCCATAAATTCAGTCTCAACATACCACTGGGGTAAAGGTCAATTTAAGTACATTTTACTGTACCATACAATGCTTTTACTAGTAAATAATTTACTGGTCCTGTTTTTCAGTGACCTGCCGTCATCCTTCAAGGACCTTCATGGAAAGGTTGTCTACAGCCTAATAGCAAGGATGTCCAGGAGCTGGAAGATGCCTTTGGTGGAAGAACAGGAGCTCAAATTTCTGTCAAACTCCTTTGCAAACATTGCCCAGGTTAATCATAATATTTACTCATATCAAATCAAATTCAAATTTAAACCAAAAGTACAGTGTCAATTTAAATACGAAGGTTAAAATAAAAATTTACAAAAGTTAAAATACAAAATATAAATAAATACAGTAGAGATATACGTGTACATTGATCAGACTAACTGATGTAAACAGTACTGTATGCAATAAACGGGAAATAAATATTTAAATGGAGAGCTATGTGCAAGTAGTACTAAATGATACACTGAAATATTGGTTAAGGTAAAAGTATTTTTTTTGTTTTTCTATTCAGAATGTTTCTCAACATGAAGTCTGCCATAGACAAAGGTCTAGGGTGTATTATGCCTCAGTATGAAAGAGCAGACACATACAATAAGAGCTTGAGAAATCTGAGTTAGTACAGCTGAGAATAAAAAGAGCAGCCTAATGGAGGAAACCACAAACTGAGAGGAAACCACAAACTGAGTGTTGCAACAACTAGGAAATAGAGTGCCGTTTGCTGAAAGGAGTACAACTGGCACTAATGAGAGTAATGTAAATACACTGATATGATTGACAGGTAAAATAGTTTAATTTAAAGGGCGTTTACTGTCCTGGAAATTTCTGTTTGAATAAGAGATCTTGGGTCAAGTAGTAGTCTTTGTTGAGTTTAATTCTGTTTGCAAAGAGAAGGAACAATGGCTCCAGAATGTACAGTAAGAACAGTCTGTAGTGAAGTTCAAAGGAGAAAAGGAGAAAATACACTTTTATTGTTGAATCAACAAGAAGAGGGGGTGGGTATCAGCACCCTCTGTTGTGGGGTAGATTGAAGAGTTTAATGCTAAACATAGTTGAGACAGTGTTTGTTTCTCAGTTCGGAGAAAGGCAGGAGGTCATACAAAGGTTTTCTTGTAAAAGGGAAGTTAATGCGGTTTAGTTAGGTTTCCGTTTGAAAGCAATAGTTATTACAAAGTTACTTTGTAAAAGTCACAGACAGTTTCAGCACATCAGCATAATTATTTCCATGACATTACCTAAACAAGGAAGGATTCATCCAAAGTTCAACAGTAAGCTGACTCACAGGCATACAAGCCTTTGATTGGTTTAAAATATGTTCTTGATATGTTTTAGTGCCCCGTCACTGCTTCATTGGAAAAAGGAAAGGTCCAAATGTCTGCTACTGTTGACAAAAGGATTTGCTGTCCAGGTAATGTATAAAGCTTACTCGTAATCAAGCAGTGTTTAAAAAATGAAGCCAATGCAGAAATGCCAAACAGTCCAATATTAATGAACCCATTCTTACAGCAGAATACAAACTTGATTACTGTCTGGTACAAAAATCTAAATTTGATATCAGTGGCTCATTTCTTTATTAGAACACACAATACATGGGGTTTAACCTTTGTTATAACGCATTGACTTTTTAAAATACATTTATATTATGCCTTTATTGGAGATACATGGCAGTGGATAGAGTTGGAAATCAGGGAGAGAGAGAATGCAGAATGACAAGTGGAAAAGGAGCCGTCTCTGTGCATGGGGTGTGCCAGCCAAAAACTAGGTTGGCGGTGCTCCTTATTCATTCACAGATAACATTTTCAATATGGTGACCTCCATCGTTTTCAGAAACTAATGACGTCACTGAAATTACTTCTGTGTTTTATACAGTCTATGCTTGTAACACAAACAAAACAGCAGAGAAAGTCAAATGCAGTGTACTATTGGATGATTACAAGTGTTTACAGCTTTTTTGTAATCGTTTTTGGACAAACGAGTTTAAACATGTAGTCTCATACTTTCAATATTTGCTTTTGTCATTAATTAAATTCATGTTATTGTGTGTCAGGATGACATTAATTCAGAGAAATAAACTGTATAATCAGATGTTGTGTTTTGTTTTATAGGTGACACTTTATCTGTTGTTGCCAAAGTCTGCAATTCCTCCTCCAAGAAAATGAAGCCCAAATTTAGCTTGATACAGAAAATAGTCTACCGTGCCCATGTCTCCACTGAACACAGTTATCGAACTCATTGCAAAGTGGTTGGGGAAACTATTGCATCCAACTCAAACGAAACTGTCTCCTGCAAGCTGACCGTTCCTGTTGGTGCCGTATACACCATGAACAATTGTGAATTGATCACAAATGAATATTATGTCCAGGTAATGATTAATGTGATAAAGGTGTTACATCAACTCACAAATGAACCTCTTTTGTTAGCAGGTGTTTGTGTCATTGTGGCACAGATATACAACATACAGTCATACACAACACATGCTACAAATATTTTTAAACATATAAGAGAACATAACTCAATAATTGGAGCTTAAACTAAATCATTTTTGATGTACATGTTTCTGTTTTCTAGGTGTATTTGGACATCCGTTTTGCCATTGATCCAGAGGTAGTGCTTCCTGTGGTTGTTGCTCCTGCTAAATGTGCTTCCCGTAAGCACGATGAATCTATGGGTCCTTACCTATCTGGGCCTGTTGGTGCCCCTGGTCACAGTGACTTCCCTCCTCCAGCCTTCCCTGTGGGACCTTATCCTGTACCTGTAGGTCCAAGTGCTCCACTTCAGCCTGGTCAGACTCTGGGGCCCTACCCAGCTGGGGCTGTCGGTGCACAAGGTTACAGCAACTTTCCTCCCCCAGGACCTTATTCTGCACCCACAGGCCCAGGCACTTATGGATATCCAGCACCACATCCCGCACAACCTGCCCCCACAACAATTGGCTTTAATAATCAGTGGCCACAACAGCTTCCTCCTTATGGTTATCCACCTGCAGCTTTCCCAACATCTTCAGTGCAGCCCCAAGCCCCTGCTGCTCAGCCTCAGTTTCAGCAGGGAGAAACCCCTCCAACCTATATGTCCCTTTTCCCCCCTCCTACTTAAAAAGCACAGATGATAAAAACTGAGCTACCTAAAGAATGTTACACTGCTATTGAAGGGGGCATTGGAGCTACTGAAAATGAACTAAATGTTTAACATTGCTAGAGCTTAAACCGTTGTTTGCATTTGCATAGTTTAGGGTCATATACAGGAAATATTGAAGATTTATAGTGTTTAAGTTCTATTGTGATACCATCGTGATCTGTCTATGTTCATCATTCATTCAAGGGTTTTGTTAGGATGAATGATTGAGATAAGTAAAAACTTCACTTTGTACTTTTAATTAATATGTTTATGCATTCATTTATATCTATTCTACTAACTTTCTCCTAAACTAGATCATAGTGGCAAACAGTTAACCTCACCACAATCAAGCACAGAGAAAGGGAACATATTTTCTTTGTAGGCTGTAGGTATCTGTGGCTGTAAACCAGAACATTTCTTAACGCAGTTATCCTAGCTAGATAGTTTATGTGCTACGTACTACGGGTGAGCGTACTGCATCATTTCCTGTTCTGTTCTCCGCTGTACTGTGTTGTTCAGTTCATTATGCCTAGTTTCTTACGACTTAAGATGACTGTTGTTTCTAACACACTGTATGTCCAGACAAACAGAATTAATCGAAAAGCACTCTTTCTCTGTAGCGACAAACCTGCTAAACAGTTTTGTTTATTTTAGCTACCTACTCTTAGCCTGGCTTAGCTTTATTTACAATGGCTTCTCTTTCTGTCTCTCACTCTCCTGCTCTACGTGTCAGATGTTAAGTTACTCCTCGTCCTCCTTTAGTGACAATGGTAGCCTACATGTAAGAAATGTAGTTTATTTTTAGCGTTGGAGGCGAGGGTGTCAGAGTTAGAGAGACGGCTCCACACCACTGAGTCAGTATGCACTATGCAGCAGTAGTTAGTCAGCCACCTGTAGCCGGTGCGGGCTGACATAGCTTCGCTATTTTCATTGTTATGCAGATGATACTCAGCTTTACGTATCAATGAAGCCCGATGGCACCAGTCAGTTATGTAAACTAGAAATGTGCCTTAAGGACGTTAGGACCTGGATGACCAGAAATGTTTTGCTACTTAGGCCCTGAAAACCTCAGAGCGATATGACTGTCCTTAATGACATCAGCCTGGCATCTAGCACCACTGTTAGGAATCTAGGAGTTCTATTTGATCAAGATATGTCCTTTAGCTCTCACATAAAGCAAATTTCAAGAACAGCCTATTTTCACCTTCATAATATATCTAAGATCAGGCATATCCTGTCGCAAAATGATGCATAAAAACTAGTTCATGCATTTACCTCCAGGTTGGATTATTGTAATTCTCTTTTGTCAGGGTGCTCTGGTAAGTCTCTAAAGACTCTTGAACTAGTCCAGAACGCTGCAGCTCGTGTACTGACTAGAACTAGGCAAAGGGACCACATTACTCTTGTGTTGGCTTCTCTGCACTGGCTCCCTATAAGATCTAGAACAGAATTTAAAATCCTTCTTTTCACTTACAAAGCTCTAAATGGCCAGGCACCATCTTACCTTAAGAGGCTACTAGTGCTGTACTACCTTTCAAGAACATTACGGTCCCAGAATGCAGGCCTGCTCGTGGTACCTACAGTCTCTAAATGTACTATTGGAGGTAAAGCCTTCAGTTATCAGGCTCCTCTCCTCTGGAATTATCTTCCAGCTGGGGTACAGGAGGCAGACACAGTCTGTATTTTTAAGAATAGACTTAAAAACTTTCCTTTTTGATAAATCTTATAGTTGGGGCTGGTGCTGGTGTAGACCAGCTCCTAGTTATGCTGCAATAGGCTTAGACTACCGGGGGGGGGAACTGGCACCTTGAGCTCCTCTCTCTCTCTCTCTCTCTCTCTCTCTCTCTCTCTCTCTCTCTCTCTCTCTCTCTCTCTCTGTGCATATACAGTACATCATATCACTGCATGTATCTGTAAATCTCAGTCACTAACCACCTGTTTTCCTAGGAGCTCCTGAGCTCTCTTAAGCTCCTCGAGATCGTTGGTTGACGGCCTGCCAGACCAGCCCTAAACAACACTAAATTAGGCTAAAACTTGTCCTGGTGCATTACAGATGTTTATCCAATTATTCATATCCACTTCATTATTCATTTTCTACGTGCAAGCTTCAAAAAGACTATTGTGAAAACAACAGATGTTTGCAAAGGAAAGTTATTCTAAACCTTTTCCTGGTTCACACATTTACACCATCTGACATTTAACGTTCTTAAAATAAAAATAGTTTAATAGAGGATGAATGTTTAAATATTTCACTGAATCAATTTATTTTCACACTTAGGCCTTGAAGATACTATCTGGTGCATCATTTAAGAGAAAAACATCATGTGACCATGCTGGCCCCAAAAGCTGTCCCATTCCTCACAGTAACGACTGGGAAATCCTATTCAGCTTGGAACACTGTTTTCTCCTTATAACAGATTTATGCTCTTAAAATCTAATTGGTAGTCCATGCAGTTGTAGCACATTGGTAGTAAACACTCTTCCTGGCCTGTTTTAGCGGTAAACAAGGTATGTTATGGAATGTAGGCTATGGCTCACAGATTTTCCAGAGGGTTAAAAAGAAACAGAACAGAATAATGTAAAACAGTAATGACCTCAGCAAAGATGATCACATTGAATTTGTTTTTCAGAACAAAATGCCTGTGGTGTGCACACAATGACTCCAGTTGTGTGGGAACATTCACAACAACCAAGTGATCCTACAGCATTATTGCTTCGCTTCCTTCACAATAACAGAGCATTTTAACGTGAATTCAGACAATGAATGTCCCTTCAAACTGAGTCAGCCTACTTCATGAATGCATGACCCCCCTCCCTCTATATATCCAAGTGATGGCTGCACAGAGGGAGGTAGCAGAAACTTCTCCCCGCCCACTTGCACTTGCTCCTGTTGCGGGTTTCATACCAGCTGCATTGTCACGGGAAACCTTAAACTATCTGTCCCAGTCATCGTCACCGCCATGGGACGAGGTCTGCTGTGTGTCTGTCTGCTGTTATTCGCTCTTTTCAAAGGTAAGACAGCAATTGAGTAGGCTATATGTTAAATTGTGCCTATTCGGCGAGCAAATGTAAATGCACTTTACATTAGGTATGATGATGCAGGCTACAATTAGGACACTACACAACCACTTGAAAGAGAAGGAAAACGCCAATAAATGTCGTTCACGTTGAAATCAAATGGTTCAGAAACTTTAGCTAGTGTTAAACTAGCGTTAGCATAACTTTCGTCCTCTGTGAAGAAGCAGCAAAACAAACTTAAGCGAACAGTAAACATGGAGTTTGACACGCTTTTAAGTATTGTGGGTTTTTCAGCTAAAGCTTACATTAGTTGTAAAACCTAACAGCTAAAACTTAATGATTTTATCCAAGATAGCTAGGTTCTTCTTACATTTGCAGAAAAAAGTTTAAGTTTTGCAGTATGAAGATGTTTTCTGCTGTATAGGAGCTTACTATTAAGATAGTCTAAAAAAATCTTTCGTTAAAATGAGTGACACGTGTTTTCCAAGTAGCTATTAAATATCAACACATCATCCATTGAATGGATTTTGGCTTGTTATTCTTTTCTATGTCTTTTCTATTGTTTTCATGCCATCTGAACTCCAGTATTAGACTACATTACATTACACACACCGAAGACTCATTAGAAGTTGGTCAAAGCAGTTTATAGATATAATCTATGGATATCATTTATTTGTTAAGAAAGTTATTTAGTGTGCATACCAAATATCAGTGACATTATATGCTGCATGAACTTGTCCGCACAAGAACTGAAGTATTTTCAGAGTTGTGCACACCTTAAACTGGCTGGGTCCTGCAAATGGTAACCATCAGCAACTCCCGCCACCCAAGCCTTAAATCACCAACAGTTGACCTTTGACCTTTAAAACGCCCTGTTGTAGCCCTTACCCCATAACATAAAAACATTGTACAAACCCTCACCTTTCACAGACACATACTGTACACCCTTCTCAGATCTCTCTTCTCCCTCTCAAGTCCACCACACAAAAAGGACCATCTCTCCTTTCCCTTCTCTCTCTCTCTCTCTCTCTCTCTCTCTCTCTATCTCTTCTTTTCCTTCTTGTATCCTTCGTATTATTATTTTGTAATGTTTTGTCATGTATTTGTTTGTTGAAGTCAATAGACTAATGTTATAGATACCATTTGATGTCTTAGTATTTTGCAGTATTTCTTGTCTTTGGTCTCCTCCTACTATGTTTAGTTTGCATTGTTATGTTTTTATCGTCTAGCACTTACAGTACGGTTTCACTTTTGCACAATGAAGAAAAACAAAACAAATCCAGATTCCTTCCAACAAGCAAGAGGGGTTTATAGTTATGAGATAAGATTCAAGCTTATACTATAACAATTAAATGTCCTCTCCACAGAAACATGTGGGTTTAAAGTCCAGAACAAGCTGCTGGGGAAATGCCTGCAGGTGCAAGAAGGAAGCTTTGGAGGTAGAGTGTCTCTGGGTGATTGCAGCCCATATTCAGCCGTACAGGAATGGCGGTGGCTCCCAGAGAGTCAGGCTCTCAGGAGTCACCGCACTGGGGAGTGTTTGACTGCCCCCGCAGAGCAGTACGAAGGTGTCCATCTGCAGTCCTGCATCGTTCATGCTGAAAGACAGGAGACTGGAGATGAAGTGCCAGTGGTGGAAATGGACAGAGAGGCAAGGAGCCAATCATGGTCCTGTTCCAAGAAAGGACACATAACTCTGACAGGGCGGGGACTGCACCTTAGTGCCACACAAGAATCTACTTTGGTCTTCCTTTCAAGGGAACATAAGCAGGTATGAATATTTTAGAAATCAAACAACAAGTCCTATTAAATGTTCTATAGTAGCTTGATAAGATGACTTAAAAGAACCTTAAAATCAGGGAAGAAATCTAAGTTTATTGTAATTTTACTTAATAATTGTAGGTTTGTACGTATTCTAGTGCTTGATGTTCTTTTGGTTCACCTCCTTTCCAAGCAGGGCAGCAGATGGCGGACTCTTGACAACCAGACATTGTGCATGGGAGAGAGAGCAAACCTAACCACCACCAAACTCTCCATCATCAAGAGAAATCGTCAGCGCCAGGAATTTCTTCAAGTGCTGTGTCTGATATGCAACACGAGGCTGAACCAGGTAAGGACCTGTACGTAACTCCCTATCAGTAATTTACTGAGTGCTGTCCTCCATCAATATTTAATATTATAAGTCAAATTTAAATGCTCAAAGGACCAGCCCCTTAGTTACAAACACATTCTGGGAACGTTATGTCCTAACTGCTTTAAAAGCACATCCATTAGACGTCACGACATGTTGCATTTTTAAGCCTTTATAAAACTACGATTAAAAATGGAAGCATAATAATGTATGACATGGTATGTATCGACAAAATGTTTTGTCAGTTCTGAATTTCTAATGTTTGACACTCAATGCCATGCCCTGCGCTTGTATAGCGCTTTTCTAGTCTTCTGACTACTCAAAGTGCTTTAACACCACAGGTCACACCTACTCACACACTGAAGGCAGAGGCTACTATGTAAAGTGGCCATCAGTATTAGCTTATCCCATTCCTACACATTTTTAGGCCCCCTCCGAAGCAGCGGGAGCGACTTGGGGTTAAGTGTCTGAACATAGACACATCAGACATGTGGCTGCAGGATAACCGACCATAAATACCATAAATGTAACTAGCTCCATAGAGAAGTGATGTCAGGTATCACAAAATTATAAAATTAAAAATCCTGAAATTGAATAAATGTCATATAATGTCAATAAAAGTAACATACTATAGCATTGCTTTGTGAGTTTAAACAAGTGGCAACATTGTACAAGCCATTGCTGGTTTAACACTGCAGTAGTTTGAATGAGCACAGAGTGAAGCAGTGCGATGCTATAAGTGAATATGTGACCTTAGACTTTGCAAATGAATGTTTAGAAAAGCCATGTATTGGGAGACAGCAAAGGGGAAGATTGTATGTGTACAATAATACTGTTACAGACCTAACCTTTAGAATATTCCACCCAAATTATAGTAAACAGCTAGCCAGATAAATAAATAAATATAAATACTTCACTTTTTTTTATTAGTAACTAAATGTATTTCCCACACTCTGGCTTGCTTTTGGCATCAGGTCATGCCAGTACAATATTCATAGACTAGAAATTATCTGCTGCACACTGAAAATGACCTTACTGTGAGTGAGCAACGTGTTTGATCTATAACTTCCTCAGGTTCAACCAGCTTATGCAGTATTCATGTTTATTTTCAGTTATTTGGGAATATTTTAGGATTAAATTCTTTTTTATTTAAGATTTTTTTATATATATATATATATATATATATAATTATTATTATTATTATCATTGCCAGTGGGAAAACTGAAATTATTATTTTGGTAAAATTATTCACTTCTACAAGTTATGTATTTAAAAAGACATTGTGGAATAAAACATGATAACATGGTAAGACATAATAAGATAACATGGACACCATAATATAGACAACACATTTTGGTCCTTTTTCCTTTATCGCTATTCAGCTGCCATTCCTCAAAGTTTAAATCTTGTGATTTCTTTGAATGCATCATCAAGGAGTCTTTCAGGGTTCCATCTTATTATAATGAGATGTGCCTTTGTTTGCTTGAAAATGTTTTGAGATAGTTAGATATAGATACACACACATTTATTGCATTGATGTCTCGGATACAGTTATCATAAACTTGTGGAAAAGATATGAAATGAAGACAATATGGTCACTCAACTGGAAAGTAACTACGCATATATGTGCATCATGGCATGACACTCTGGAGAGTGATGATGCTTGTTGTAATATGGCACTCTGAGGCCTGAGAGAGAACTGCTGGTGTCACACAATAAAACTCAAATGAAATGCCATGTGACTGGTGACTAAATCATGTAATGTCGGAGCATTCCTGAGATAGAATTAGCCGATGCTGATAGTCACGTGATATACTAATAACGTCTGGTATTATCACCTGGCCGATTATTCGTTCGGGCTCTACATTTTTTTATGATTCAAAAAATTTTGTGCTGCAAAGAAAATATCAGTACCAAGATGTTTTGTGCTGCGGTCTGTAGATTAGATTACCACATGCCTGCTGCACCCTGAGGATCTAATTTAGCTAAGTGCTCTTTTGCCTGATCAATATTTTTCTGGTCTTGAAAGAAAGCCAGCCACTGTATGAAACAGCATCGCTGTGACATGTCAAGTCATGGCAGTGCTGATTCAATTTGCCTCCATGCAAGGCGGATCCTGCATGATCTGATTTTCTTTTCACTACTGAGGATGGACAAACAGGATAAATGCTTCCTTCCTCAAAAAATGGCTCTGTCTAAAACACAAAATATATGCGTGTGTGGCTTTTTATCTCCCCTGGTTTTATAGTCAGTGAAACTAAATCCAACCTATGTTGTTTAGTTTATATCATCATTTTAAGATGACCTGTATTTGCCTTGTTTTTTTTTTCTTGTCCTTGAGTTGAAGGTATAACAGGCACTGAGGTACAGAAACACATTCTGCAAAAGAGGACCCTGTTTCTTTCCAGAGCACCAAATCTCCTGCAGATCCCACCATGATCTTCTTCAGCATGGACTATGGTAAATTATAAACTGTAATAGATTAAAGACTGAATAGATCCTCGATGTTAGGCCTTAACAACCTTCCTTATTGAACATAAACCTGATAATGTTTCCACCACTAGGGGGAGATAGATGACCAAGAATCTTAGAACATTGTTTATCGTTGGTGTGTTGAAACATGTGTAAAGGAGTTTGAATAGGCTTTTATTTGAACAAACAGAGTCTTTACAGAAATGTCACAATGTCAAAGGATATAATGAATGATGTGTTGCTTGGTCTGTATTGTGTTCGTTTGTTTAAGGCATGGGCTGGAAGATAACCATGTTGGTACTCAGCTCTTTGGCTCTGGTCCTTGGGGCTGTGATTCTTATCCTCAATGTTTACTCCAATAGGTGAGTGCATAAACACAAACTTTACTTTAGAAAAGATAACAGGTATATTCCTTAGTTGACTAAACTAGCAAATATTATTTTTCGTATAAGTGGATCATTTAAATGGTAAAACCGGCTAAGTTCCAAAAGGATTTGTTTATTTTACATCATTGCAAATTGGATACACTTTAGTAGATTGGTGAATAGAACAATGGCATACTGAAAACACACAACAAGTTGACATAATCTGTTTTGTGCAGCAGCTGATCTGCTGTATAGGCTGCTAAAGCTCTGCATGTTGAAGGCCAACATCCAATAACCACAATATAAAATATTCCAAACATGATTAAACTCAAATGAAAATAATAGTTGGGAGACAGGTCATTCTAAATCATAGAAACTCAGGGCTTTCCACAGACATACGGAGAAGTCAGCCAGCAGGAAATAAAAGCCAGCTTTGGGTGTTTGTTGCCCCAGAGAAAGATATCGTTTATAAAAGGCCAAATTCTTTGTTTTCTGGTACATTTCAAAGACTCTATTCTATCATTTAAACTAGTATTATAACATGTTATATCTATTAAGTTTGCTTACTAGATTATTATCAGTTAGCGAATTATTGCAAATGAGAATCAGGCGTCTTTGTCAAATAAGTTCAGGATAATAAAAGATGTCAGGTGGGCTGTAGGTAGCCCAGCAGTTATTTTAAGTAGATACACTGTTGAAATGAATGTATTTTTTAATACTCTCTCCAGATAGTTTAAATAGTTTTGGAAGCATTGACTTTAATACAAACTGTTACCTACAGTCTTCATCTATCTGACCTGCCTCAGGGAGGGTTTAGTATCTCATCTTCAGCTGAATATTATCAATATGTATCGTCTGTAATGCGCCTGATGCTGTGTCTTGCGGTGAGTGAGTAGTCAGCTGTTTGGCCGACAGCTGTTGCTTGTGGAAAGCCCTGGAAACTAGAAAAATGGGAAGAGTAGAAATATTGGCCTTAACAATAAATACAGTACAAAGTGAACCATTGTACTTTCCACCACTGTTTTTTTTTCCTGATTTGCTGCAGCAGAAGGAAGAAGGTGGTGTGTGTTCTGAAGTCATACACTCCTCGGCCAGAGATGAGTGTACCTCGATCCCCTGTGCCCAATGAAAGAGCCCCGCTGACAGAGCACGCCATGTGTCTCCCGCACTCCACCCCCACTTTACAGCGAGGAGAAATCCTGATTCAGTGGAAGGACGGCACTGTAACTCCACTGTACGAGGCCTGAAGGTTTTGTAAATTTAGATGTGTTTTAAGTTGTGCAAACATGCATGCTCTCTTGTGTAGGTTTGTATGTGTGTATGGGTCATGCACAAACGCTCCTGAATGTGTTTTAATGAGAGTCTGTGGGGAAGTGGAAAAGGTGAAAAACAAAAGGCAAAATAAGGTTATGTTTTGTTTAGTTTCAGACTCTTTTCATCAGTGTTACCAAGCTGTTTCATTAAATGGAAATTTCATGGATCAGTATCGCAACCGTGTCAGTGAGGCTTAGCTGCCACAGGAAGATATAAGCTGTCATGAAGCTGCCAGAAAAGAAAAGACGAGCAAAAGCTGGACTTTCAGTTTTTTAATAATACTGAGTCCTGACTTCTGCTGTTGGAGATTCGAGGGATTGCTTGTTGGTTTCTAAAATTATGGGTAAGCATTCAGAAAGTGTTTGACTTACTCAAAGTGTCATTTAAGGGCTTAACAAAGCATCCAATATATTAGGCCTTTACTTGGATAAATACTTGGGAAAACTTATCTTTGTTTGCCAAGGCCTCAACTGAGATGTGTTCTACCTTCATGTCGGACACTTTGTGCTGTGGTTTTGAATGAGGTTAAGTTGCTTGATGTCGAGGAATTGGAAAGGCGGCATAGTAATTCTTAACAGATTGTTGAATGGTCACTAAACATTGTACTTCTTTCTTTACATACTGTATTAATAACAAAAGCACAATTGACAAGCGTCACACCTTGACCCCAGAGAAGCACACCTTTCGTAATAGGATATGTATAATAACGTGTGTGTATTAACTAGGTGAACTTGGGGAAAGTTTATTTCTTAACAGAATTTACTGTTATGCCTACATGCATGATCATAACTATTTAGTTAATATTTTTTTAAAGAAAGAAATCTTTCCCAAGCTTTGTATGTTTTGTTATCAGTCTAACAGTATTACATTTGAAATGCACTTTGCTTTGATATTGACAGTATAGCCGTTTTCACATATGCACTCCTGAAAATATCCAGATAATTTCCGGAGGAGCGCTCTGGATATTTTTCTGACCTGGCTGTTCACACATGCATCTCACAGTGGTAGACGATCCCTGTCAGGCGGGGGGGTGCGGGGGGGGGGATATCAACGGAGAACAACATACTGATGAACAGAAAAAAATACGCAGCCATTTAATGACGTGCACGGAGATCGTAGTGGTTGTGTGTATAAGCTCTTTGCACCGTGCAGCAGTCACTGTAGAAACGTCACTCCCCGCTCCCATTGGCTCGAGGTAAATTCTCTGGAAAATATCCTGCGGCATGCTCACATCAGCTCACTCAGACTTGCTGTGGTAAAATACTAGGGGTCTGTCAGGAGACACTCTGGGTGAAGTCTCAGCGAAAAATTAGATTCTTAGCGTTCACACATACAGCTCCTTCTGCAATTATCAGGAGATTTTCTGGAGTTTTCTACTACAAGTGTGAAAGCCCTGTAGTATAGAATGTTGAATATCATGGTTATAATACTGACTTGAACTTGACTGTTTATTTACAACCTTTGTATAGAATTTGACTTAACAATATCCACTGGGGTCCATTATTAGAAACACTTTTCTGACTTGTAATTCAGGTCATATGATGCTTCTTAGAGCTTAACATTTTCTGTTCTTTGAATCTGCATGATAACCTTGTAGAGAGCATATATGTGGTATATTTTTTAGTTTCCTAACAAAAGTATTTTTTTCACATTGAATCAGCTAATAAAAGAGATTTACATAACGCCTTGCACTGCTTTTTCTTATGACTACATGATCTATTATATAAAGCGTATGTTGTTCTGAGTGGGAAGAAGAATGTTGCTGACAAAAGCACCTTTTATAGTAATGACTTCAGCCAGTCTGTAGAAATGCTTTAATTACAGATTTGTTTTGTTGATGAGGGTTCCAGAGGAAATTGCATTTCCCTGTGGCGCCGAAACTTCAAAGCAGGATGAGTGTGTTTACAACAGAAAACCAAAGCGTGTTGCATTGTGTTTGGGATAGGCCTTGGGTTGTTCAGCAGGTTAATTTGATCTGTCCTTTCATTTTAACTTTAGGCAACTTTTGGTTATACTCTTTAATAATTATATCTAATTATTAACAATATAAATAACAATATCATTAAACTATGTTTAATCAACTCTTGGGGCACCACCCTGGACTCAGGGAAATATAACCAAAATATCACTAAAATCAGTCTCAAATTAGTTACTTATTTAATAATATTAATAATTAATAACTATAATAAGTTGAAGGCGTGAAATCCGTACACAAAGCCCTCGCACCCAGCTCATATCACAATGCAAATACACCAGTAATCACAAACAACTGGTCTCTTAAATTATAACAGAATTTATTTAAACAAAGCAACATCAATCCAAAATCAATAAACTTAATCAAACAAATTACTATCATAAACTAATCTAAGCAAACAAACATTATCAAGCAAAACTTGTGAATGAGGTGTAAAAGTGTAGTTGGCTTCGTGCGTGGCTTCGTCACATGGTGACAAAATGGTGGATAACAAAGGAAGCCGTGTGGCTGCCTTTTGAAATAGTTTGAGCTCTCTGATCTGAGTTCAGTAACTGTTACTTAAACACCAGAAAGCCAGTGGCCGGACTTTGATTCAACGGCGGGTACGCTGGTCTTTCTGTTTGTGAAAGCCGTTGACTGAAGGTAAACTAGCGTAGCATTACACACATTGGCGAACACAGCGGTTCATCACAATAAAACAAATGCAGCAGCTTACAACAGATAATAAACAGAATGTGACGTCTCGTCAACAATGATGCATAATAATCAGTGGTTAGAAAAGAAACATAACTTTTTCTGAAACTATTTCTGCCCAGACCAAAGCTCTTACTTGGGGTAACTCCTGGTGATCATTGCAAAGTTGGTTTGATCGTCACTCTGTTGAATATTAAATCAACAGATTCAGGCAGGTTTCCTTCGTGGCAGATGTAGGAGGAGGGAAGCGGGATTCAGATCTTCGACCAGATAACTGCTCTAGGGTCTTCTGGTTGCAGGAGCCGAGTTCTTTATGTGTCCTTGTGGATTCAGGGATCAGTGGGCTTCCTTCAGCGCTCCTGTCCAGTTGCGTTCAATGACGTCTTACGAAAAATCAAAGGAAAGAAACTCTTCTTTTTGCTTGAACCTGATAGCATCTGATTGCGCCCAAAACTCCTAAAAATATGCCGTGGTAGTAGTCAGCTGAATCCTTTGATGTTTGAATTCAGCATGTGAAAAGCTACCTAGACTGAACAACCTCAGCTCTGGAGTTTAACCTATGTAAGCGAAGTGGAGGAAAGGGTTTGTCTCGAATGCTGGAGTCCATCTTGTTGGAGAGTTTATCCTCGGGTGTCAGCAGACAACACTTGAAGAGGAGGAAGCAATGCCTGGCAATTGCTTTTAAAGAGCCCATATTCTGCCCTTTTTGGGGTTTGTATATTTAATGTATGTACCTACTTTTGTATGTTCACAATAGCTAAAGTCCGAAAAAAGTGTCTGTTTTCATGTACTGCTCCTCCTTGCTCCCTCTACGCTCTGAGTCTGTCAGCTACGCTCTGTTGAGCCCACACTGTTAGACCCCATGTGGGCCAAGTCTACTCTAAATTTGTCTGCCAATCTGCTCTGTCGTTATTGGTCAGTTGCTCTGCTTCTCAGAAATTTCAACATGAGCTGCAGGGCTTGCCACAACGAGCCAATGGGCTTAGATCAGTGATCTCACACTGACAAAGACACCGCACTGACACATTTTTATCGAGGGGGGCTAGAACCAAGCCTTACATGCAGCTAATGCTACAGCTATCAGGAGGACGTAGGAGAAGCCGCGTTTCCGCGGACTTTGAATTTTTGCACATAGATGTGCCTAAACATGCACAGGACACTTGGAAAACACACTAAAGGGCATATAAAACCAGAAAAAGCATAATATGGGACCTTTAAAGACTGGAGCTGCCTGTGGGTTTACCTCAGGCCTCCTCCAATGAGGATAGAGAATTCAGACACCCCCCTTTTCACACCTATTTGTTAGTTTCTGTTGGGGGGGGTGCTGGGCTAAGACTCCTTTGTTTAGTTTCCTCCAAAATAACTCTTGTCGGGCTTGAGAACTGTGATACTGGCCTGAGTCCTTTGTCCAGCACACATGGCTGAGGCCCAACATATGTGTTTAAACATTACACTTTCAAAAGAAAAGACTGAAAGAGTCTCTGTAGTGTATCTGCATCAGCCATTCTGCTCCTGTTCTATGTAAGTGTTTAATGGGCATTTTTTGTACGTAATTCTAGAGGGGAAAAAAAAACAAGTGTGGCACTGACACCCTGTCTCCCCTGCTGCTCATGTTTAGAATAATGAAAGGCCTCAAAGTTTAATGAGCAGCACACAGCACCCTTAAAATGACATGCTGTCCCACACTCCTCCAGACCACATCCTCACACCTGATGAAAATAAAGACATGTTATTTTTTTTATTTTCGTCTTTTTTAGACTCAATTATCTCCCACAGCAATTTGATATTTCTGTTTTATTGTTGAAAACCTGTATAAGACACTTCTATTTAGACACTGGTTTCATCATACCTTAAAGACCTTTAGCCAGTATTTTGTAGTAAAGTTGCCACACACAATGGTTATTGTCCATATTTTAAGTGTTTTCTGTTGTCTCTTTTAAATACAAAGAGGTTAAATAGTAGCCATCACCCTACCAATGTTTTCCAGCACTTCTCTAAATTATGATTATTTCATTAGTGTCACGTAGACACCCTCACACACCCTAAAAGCTGCAAGTCCTTTCAGCTCATTGCTATCATTTTCTTTCATTCTAGTGTGCATGAGTATTGTGCAAAAATAAAACAATTGTAAACGTGTCACTTTCCAAAGAATACAAGGCTGCTCTGTATGTGCCCAGACCTGTCGTCGTTCAGGTGAGGCAGAGGGTAGTGGGAGTGACACCTGTATGAATAAGAGGTGTGTGAGTGTGAGAGGACTGACTCAGCATTCTCAGTGAGTGGCCTGGACGATCACATGTCTGATTTCAGCTCCATGGTGGAATCATCAGATCAGTCCATTTGTTCTGATGCAGTGTGTATGATGTTTCAGTTCTTTTCTTGTCAAGTGTCAAGAAGGGATTTGTTATCTTTAGTTATAGAATAGAACAGAAATGTATTGTCAATGCTTATCCCCTAACTGAAAAACCAGCCCACCAATAGAGACAGCCCACTGTCACAAAAAAGCAATATTTATGAAAACATACCATAAAAAAGAAAGCATGTTTTGACTACTACAAAATGTGAAATGCACCAAAAAAGCTTTTATATTGACCCAATGTATTGAAAGGAAGCCCAAGGTTGCCATAAACACGTTTTTGTCTCGAAATGTTTCTTGCTGTCTTTTGTTTTGAGACATGGAAGAATTGCACAGTCTCCAGTACTTAGTTCTGCTGACAGTCTGAACACTGCAGAAGTAAACAATCATCCTGCTCATCCCTCAGCTTCACAGTTATATCACACGAGACCATGACCAGATGAGGAAGAATTCAGAAAGCCGCCTTGACCTTCACACCGTATTGCAGAAAAGTATATAAATACCAACAAACCAGCAAGAAACAAAGCAGACCCCTTAGCATTGTGATGCGGTGCAGATGACATATTTCTGTATGAAAAAATTGGATGGAAGGGAAAAGACAAAAGGAAAGACAGAAAAGGAAGAATAAACAGATGTGTTCAAAGGACTCTGGATTTATAAGCTTCCTCTTATTTCCTTTTCAGTATTACATTGTGACCACTCTTCAATTAAATTCAAAGATTGAAGAAGAAACCTGCTGACATCTTGTGAGCATGTGTTTGTCATCTTCATGGCAGTCATTGATAGAACACGAGAAAGGAAATTGTCACTGAATCCACTTTGGATGTAAAAATAAAATCAAACTTATAAGTTTGGAATAAATAAAAAAACAGAACGGCATTATGGAGGAATGAGAAGCAGGAATGCTTGGGGTTGACACATTCCTGTTCTATATAATTTTGGCTGCCAGTGTTGGCGTCTTATGATGGTGCCTTGGTCAAATAATGTGTTGAGGTTAACCTAATGTGGTGATTTTGATTGGATAAGAGCTGTTGGAAGGAAAAGTGTTAAAAATATTTTCTAGTTGGTTCAAAGAATGCATGAAATGTTTGAATCTTCACTGCACTGTTCAGGAATTATGGGCAGACAAGTTATGTGTGTTAAATTTATATTTTGACTGTTTCCATGCCAAAAACTTCCAACTAAATTTCAAGATACTGTTGTTTGATGCTACAAGAAGACAAAATACAAGGGAATGGAACAATAGCGAAAAAAGGCTGCTTTGGTAAGGGTTTATGGTGTGCTCCATTTACGACAACAACACATGATAGTTTGCTCGTGAAAATACCATGACAACATGTGTACAAGAGATAAAACTTGCACAATACTTTCAGTTTGATTGATATAATTACACCAAAAGAGGACTAAGCTTCTAATACACACAATAGTTACAGCTTAAACTTTACTGATGTGCAGCATCCATGTTGGATTTTAACTCCGACTACTGAAGTTGCTCCGGGTTTCCTGACGCATCAGACCGGTAACTCTGAATTTCCAACTTCTGAATTCAAATGAAACCCACCAATAATAATGTAGTTTTACTTTCCCCTAATTGGCTCATATTCTATATAGCTTAAAGAACAGTTACACTTATTAATTCATTAGTCTTACCAAATTTAGTG